GGGAGGAAGGTAGCCGGGGAGGGGCCCTGTCAGCACTTTGGTATGGGGTGGGGAGGGGTGTGGAGTGGGGCACATCGTCCATCTGTCCATCCATCCGCCCTGCCTGCCTCCCAGCCCAGGGCTCAGTCCTTCCACTCCTTCTTGATGGTGAGGTTCCACTCCCAGGACAGGTGGTCGGTCTTGTCGTCGTCGGTGAAGCGAGACTTGATGTTGTAGCTGCCCCTCGCCAGCATGCCCTTGGGCGCCTCCTCCATGGGGGTCAGGAACTCGTACTCCTCCGCACGCGGACCGTAGCTCCCCACCATGTAGTCGGTCTTGTCGACTGCAGGCGGGGACCAGTGTCAGTTCAGGGTCAGCGCCACGCTCCCGCCGGCTGTGCCCACCCAGGCCCACCCCACTCACTCTTGACGCCTTTCCGGTACGTGTGCTGGATGTACTTCATGCCGGACACGATCTCCCTGTTCACCTGCAAGCACCCGAAAGGGGTCAGTGGGCTCCCCACCCTGGCTGGTGCCACGCCCTGCGACCCCAAGCCACCTTACCCGGAAGGAGATCTTTATCCTGTACTCCACACCCTCCTTCAGCACGAACGACTGCTTCTTGAAGCTCTCCAGGTCACCTGTGCGGCAGGGTGGTCAGGTGGGGAGCTGTCCCCGCTGACCCAGCCCGGGCACAGGCAGGCCGCAGGGACCACTTGGCAGTGGCCTGTGCCCACCAGAGTGTGCCAAGGCAACACGGACTCTTTTTAGGGGCGCAACAGGGTGGCAGCAGCCCCCCCCAGCCTTCTGGCCCATTCACCTGTGAGGTCCAGCTCCAGGGGGCCCGGGGCAGTGCTGCACACCAGGGTCAGGCGGGTCACGACGACGTTGGGCACGCTGGGGTCGGCCGACACAGCCACGCGGCCCAGCAGCGCCTCCTTGTACTTGCGCAGGCTCTCGTCGTCCTTGTCCAGCTCCTGCAGCTCCTGGATGCTCTTCTGGGCCGGGGGCTTGTAGTTGACCGAGTGCTCGTCCTCCTCGTTCTCGGCTGCGATCTGGGCCAGCTGCTCCGCCGTGGGCTCCTGCTCCGCCATGCTCACCTGTGGCCTGGGTCTGGACACCTGCGGGCGGGGCGGCTGTGTCTGCACCGGCAGAGCAGGGGCGGCGCCAGGGCTGCCAGGGCTGCTCAGATCGGGGCCACGCTTGCTCTGTCCAGCAGAAAGGCCTGTCCTCAGGGAGACCCGCCTCACCTCCCCGCAGGGGTGCGCCCCCTGGGCCTGCCAGCCCTGGACCCGAGACCTCTGCGCCGGCAGCCGAGGCTCTGCTAGACACCTAGGGCTCCAGGGCCGGGCAGCCACAGCCCACAGGGTGCCAGGGCCGCGGGCACCTGCGCACCTGCAACTCCTGGGACGGGGAGGGCGTCTCGGCACCCCCCTCGGCACCCCTTCCAGACGCTCCAGACAGCGCCCCCCC